TCAAACCGACACATCCATAGCAAAATGATTACCAAAAATACATAAAGAAAATGGGCCAATACGACCAATAATTTCATCAATTAATAGCCCTACTCACAAATTAGCAAAATTCTTATATAATGCTCTTAAAACAGTTATAAATAAACCTAACTCTCATATTTTAAACAGTGTACAGTTAAAACAGAAATTAAAAGATATTTTTATTCCAAACGATCACGTCTTAATATCATTAGATGTAAATTCTTTATTCACGAATATATCTTGTGATTTAGTCTTGGAGGGATTGGACAAACGTTATGAACAAATTTCTTTCACGCAATTTAAAAATAGTTACTAATATTCTGAAAAAGAATAATTTTCATCTGAATTTATCAAAGAACACATACACAAACGGATTAACAAATATAAAAAAGGGAAGAATAATTCTAAAAAATCAATAAATCAAAAGCTACCTACAGTCGCTATTCCAAATAATTGTAACATCTTTAAAAAATGTTCTTCTGTGTTAAAAAAACATGACATTACTCCAATATCTTTATTACAAAAACCATTACAAGAGTTCATACGTTTAGGAAAAGTCAAATCTGATTTATTCGACAATACTGGTATTGTCTACAGTTTTAACTGCAAACAATGTTTAGCTGTCGATATAGGTGAAAGTAAGCGATCCTTAAAAATTAGATCAAATATGCACAAAAAACATTGACTCAGATACAGTAGTAGTTACACATAGAAGAACTCTCTCACACGAATTTGACTGGGACAAAGCCAAGAAACGTAAAATATCCGAAATGTTGCACGTGGGCTTACATAAAAACACTTTAAATAGAAAAGAGGATATACAATATCTTAGTCATATTTATAAGCCTTTATTAAGATTGATGAGGAAGGGATGATAGATGAAGAATATATATGTGTTGAAATACTTGATTTCTTACTGTATTGTAACGTGACTGGCTACGAGCTGTTCATTTTAGCCGATAATAATTTGACTATGAGAGAAATCAGGTACACACATATACATATAATTTGCCTTTAAAATTGCATTTGTAACTTTATTGTTAATAATTTGTTGTTTTTCTGTTAATAAAGCCTGAAGACGTCAGCAGATGTGCTGACGAAACGTTGCTGAATATAATTAAAATTAAGTAAATTTACATCTCTCGCTATTGCCCTTCTTTCCATTATTACAAAATTTATCATTGAAGAAAACTATAAGGGAATCAAGACAGTATGTTACGTATATATTTCTTATTTATTGACAACTCTGTTAAAAATTAGTTATCAAGGTGTTAAATTCTTGCTTCTCTTTCTTACGGTGCTGGGATCGCTGTTGTATATTCAGACTCGCATCATATTTATTTATTGCAAAATTACTAGTGATATTTACTTGCAAATGAAATTAAGTTAACAAATACGTACTAAATGATCATAATAACTTTCGATTCGAGATTAGCGCGTTGAAATTGACTGAAAAATGCTTTTATTCGTTTGAAAAGCTTGCAATTATTGATTCTGCATAGTAAAGAATAAATTTCCCACGCCCATGACGTCACGCTCCTTATATGATCTTGATTTTAAACAATTGCTCTAACACATCGATGCGTGTATGTGAGGTATCCTCGTAGTTTTAATAACGCTTTTCCTCAGTTTTCGGACGTATGGCAAGTTGCTATTAGAAAAGCGAAAACAAAGATAAATCAGACTAGACCGTTAGACTTTTTCTATTACGAATCGTCCTTTCCACTTATACCTCGGCATTTTCATGCAATATTTGAAGTTTAATACCAGTAGATTGAAGTTTATAGGAGAATACCATGTAGACTATAGACGAGGTAACGGTGGTATACACAATATACATACACGCTGTGCAAAAACTATACCAACCAAAGAACACAAGCACTGTTGCCAAGGTTCAGTTAGCATAATGTCTAACTAAAATTAATTGATAATAAATGAAAGGTCTTTGAATATACTGTGACGGTAAACGTCAAATTAGCGCTGATAACCTAACCTGATTGGTGCCTGGGAGGGCAGCACTTACCGGGGGGGACGAAAAACGTAACGAAGGAATTCGGCGCGCGAGCAGACGGAACGCGCGCGATTGAAACCGAACTAGTGAAGCACTGGTCATCGTCACGCTCACCCGCAACTACGACGCCGATTACTGATACGTGAGCTAGAGATCGAGTCATAGAGTGAAGCTTTGACCACCGTCCCGCTCGCCCGCTTTTGTTTTGCTAACATCGATCCGTGTGCTGTTAAAGCCAATTATTGAGAGAAGAACGCCCAGATCAGTATCAGCTAGCAGTGATCGCTGTCGCCAAGGTGCCATTCAACCACCAAGGGGAGAGACCCGAGCTGACGGAGAAACGTCACCCGCGAAGAGATCGAGAGGGTGTGTGTGAGGTTTCGCCATCGAGGGCGAAACCACGTGTGCGCGAACTCGCGATCCGCGACATAAACAATAAGACAGTTTTCTCGCCGTGCGACTCGTCTATGTCACCTTCGTACGCCTGCGATATTAAGGTAAGCAGGCCAGCTTAATCTCGCGATCGCGGTTGCATGTTTAATAATTAATTTCCTGCATTCGAAGCGTGCATGTAACGGCTCCAATAACAAAGAGCAGCGAGCGTCCCGACAATACGTGTTGTCGATGAGCGAGCGTCGATGTAAACAAACGCGCGGACCGACCTTATGTAGCATTTGAGTGATAATAAAAGGTTCTGTTCGTGTTACTAACAAGTGTTTTCGACTCCCTTACTTCTTTTCGCTTCCACTCACTTTCTTATAGGTTAATAGATTTACTGGTCGACTGACGCCTGTCTCCACATGCTCTCCGGACTGCATTTTGAGCATAGATGATTACATTCGCCCTTTCAATGAAATCGCGCGAATAAAAATATAATTAAACGGTGTTACCCCGTTACAATATTTTATTTAGAAAAAATATATTTATCTTCGTAGCTTGATTCATATATTTGATATAAAAGATTAATTTATATAATCTTTACAGAAAAAAAATTTTATTACTTTAAATTGGCAGTAATTGCGGTCTTTTGTTTTAAAGTATAGAGCTTACCTCTGCCTCTTCACCCTCCCTCCCCAAATAACACCACTGAACATCCTTAAATAGCATATAGAGCTCCACATCGGTAGAGCGCTATCACTAACAGCGTGATCAATGCCTTTGATTAAGGAAAAGGCTGATATACATAGTTACACTTTTTGTGCATGTGTGTGTATGTGTCTGTTGTCTATCTGTACGTAAAAATGCCTCTTATTTTTGTAGTCAATATAAAGTAATTTCTGATAGCCTATTAAATTATTAAGGCATTGATAATTATAATTGGTAAACGTAATTTTAGTTATATTTTTATAATTCCTAGTTTTCAATTCATTAACCCGATTGATTGATTAATTGAATTAATTATCTATGCCTAAATAATATCAAAATATATTAATCCTTTCAGGGGCATTTTTTTTTGCTGCATTTATTCCGAACTCGAAAGTGTATATAAAGGTTCTCGGGGTCGCTAATTACGAATCTGAAGTCCGATTTTCAAAATTAAAAATGGCGGATCTAATATGGCGGACATAATTTTCAAACTGAAGCTTATATGAATTCAAATTTGAATACTTGAGTTTTCGGGGTCGCTGATTACAAATCTGGAGTCCAATTTTCAAAATAAAAAATGGTGGATTCGTAACGAATGAGCCTATAAATACCCTTATACCATCTTTCAAGTGAAATACTCAGAAAACTGCAATTCTAACCTAAAATAGCCGCCATATTGGATTTTCCAAATTCTGATACCGGATTCGTGATCAGCTTTTTGATTCAAGAGCTCTTTTATACAAATTTTCATATAATTATCTTGAAAACTCTGTCCGAGACCGACTTTATTCGAAAAAACTGAAAAATTTTCGTCTTTGATTATATAAATAATTGAATAAATAACTTTTTAAATTTGTAATCGAAGCTTCACGAAGCCTAAGTACTAATGATGGTATAGACATTTATTCGAGAGTGATTGAATTTAAGATGGTAGTGGTATGGATAAAAAACTGAAAAAATTTAGGTGTACCATATGATACGCTGCCCCTGAAAGGGTTAATTAATATATAGCAAATGCATGTATAAATACAGATAAATACACCAAGATAGTGTGTTAAATGCTGCTTCAAACTGATATATTATAAATAAGTAAATGTTTCTTTTTTTAATTTCATCTTTAAATTTTATTGGCACCGCATATATAGGATCTGCTTAAATTAAAACTAGATAGTCAAGTAATAATGTAAACACGCCCGCTATTACTTGACTATGCAAAAAACACAATGAGATATAGTATTTGATCGTTACTAAGATATCCTCAACACTTGCTTCACGGCAAGAACACAAAAAGAATTTAGGTTCAAAATTCTTCTGATTGTGTAACTACAGTCTTTCATTATTTGCTAGTCGTAAAAGTTAATAGTAGTTGCCTTTACATTAAAATTAACATTAATTAAATTAAATTAATTAAAGAATGAAATTAAATTCATATTTTTTCAAAAGAAAATAAGTATGAAATAGCTACATATAATAAAATTTTTTACAGGAGTGATTGGAAAAAACTACAAAATGGTTTTTTACATTTTCTCTGCCATTCATTGTCCTGAAAAAGCGATTAGTTCAACATACGATAAAAATGTTGGAAAATAATTTTTTTTATGACAGGACATTTACGTTTGTTATGTATACACCATTTGAAAGTGTTTCAAACGACCTTTCTAATGAGTCCCCGCTGACTTCTTTAAATTATTTTTCAACTACATAAAACTAAAATTTCAGTAATTTATTGATTGAATGGGTAGACTTTTGACCGGGAACGTACAATGGACTGAAAACGTATAAGTGACATTCTGATATAAAAGTAAATAATTAAGTAGTATTATCATAGATAGATATAGATGTAATTTAAGTAAATCAAGGGCTAGATGGAACTACACTGCACCTTGCATACCTCCATGAAGCCCCCTCTTTCCTTGACGTAAAGATATAATCTGAATAAATCTAAAGGATTTTTAGAAATGGTAGGACAACTTGTGATTGGAGTCCTTCTATCTTCCATAAAATTAACAAGTTTATCAAGCCAAGATCTTCTTTCAATTGAATCATCCATTTCATAAAGTTTTGATAAACTATCAGATTTCTGTAAAGAATTATTTAGTTTACATTTTTGTAAATTTCTTTATATAAAAATTGTTATTTATATAAGTTAATTTTAAGAAATATACCTTAGATCTGTATGGATCATGAGATAATTGACTGTTATAAACCTGTAACATAAAATAGTACTAAATTATCAGAATGTAAACACTAATTAAATTGACGAAATAATAAAAATAATCCTTATAGTAGTATTATCAATATTACAAGTCTGTAAGTATATATTCTAAATAAGATTTTAGGAAAATTGAGATAGACAAACAATAAATCGATATGGATATTTTCACTGCTAAAAAATAAATTGCAAATTTAGAGAAATATTAAAGAGCTAGAAGTACTTATTAACTATTCTAGTATCTTAGCAAAGATTACATTAATTATAAATAAAAAGAAGCGTTGACAATTATAATTTTTCAATATTATTATCAATAACAGGTTTATCGAGTCATGTATATATATATATATATATATATATATATACATATATATATATATATAATATTTCCCGCTCTTTCCGAATCCGGGGTCAAAAATAGGGATTGCCATGTACAAAAACAAAGTTGACCTTGAAATGATCTTGAACACGACCTCCAAGGTCAAAGGTAAGGTCATAGGAATTTGACCCCCTCGAAATTAAGCAACTTTTGTCTGAAAAATATTTCGCTATCTCTCATAGTTTCCGAGAAAACCTACTGGTCCACTTAAAATGGCCCACCCTGTACACACACACACACACACACACACACACACACACACATATATAACTCACGCTACCAATTTAATATCTTTTTCTCTCGAATCCAAACATCACCTTTTTATTAGACACTCACGGAGGATAAAAACACACTATGTAAAACAGACCTCACACACGTCTTATATATTGAAAATATGTCCACAAAGCAAAACAAAATCCAATGAAAACAAACTCGACACTCGCTGAATTATAATATTTAAGAGTTTTAACGCTAGGAACTACAATGACCTTTTACATCTCCGCTTTTCTCACAACCCGAGATTGCGATTAATACATATTAGCCATAATATATTAAGACCTGAGGTGTTAGGTCTTACGACGTCTTTTAACTTTTATAATAAAGTTCCAAAACTCAAGCTCTTATAAGAGAAACTCAAATTCTGTATACGTCGGCAAAAAATCATTGTACTCTCATAAACTCTCGCCACAAACAAATATGCGTTAAGCTAATGTCTTCCTCTGCAAATTGTGATGTAGCAAACAAGACCTACTTAAAATTGCAAAAATCGAAAAATTAACGAAATTTGAGAGCTATAAGAACCTCGCAAGCGCCGTAGCGGGTAGTTCGTAAGAGTTCAAGTCAAGGACTGTATCTCAGATCTCTGTATTACACCTGTACGTATATTTGGTGTATTTATATCATATTTAGTAACTACAGCTGTAAACATGCCTAAAACATTTTGTTAAATCCTCAATAAACATTATTTAGTCAGAAAAACACTAAACTAGTCTATTTCTGTATTCTCAACCTGATCTATGAGACATCTCAACGACAAGATTCCAGGTATTATAACACTCAATCTTTTATCTCTTTGCTTCTTTTTGTCCATATTTCTACACCATGTCTAAAATATATCTGTAAAATATAAGTGAGCTTTATCCACTAGATTTCATATTTTTACGTTTTAAATGTTAGGTATAATCGGTAGCTAACTCCAAAGACGTAACAATATCATGTAGAAGAGGGCAGTAACAAGGCTGACCACTGAATAACCGATCTCAGGAAATGGCTGAGACTTTATTTTCATGTGAATAGTACTTGTGCTGCTCAGGAATAAAATAGGATTCCCCGCTTGCCGCAGCGACGAGCGAATTTACACTTGCAAAAACAGCCCCTTTTTTACGCGTTGTTGCTCTTACATTGCTATTTCTGCAAACTTGTACAAACTTTGAACAAGCTTTGTCGCAAAATCGCGCACGGAAACTGAAAAGTTTATGATTTAAAAAAAGAGTTTGTTTGAGCAGTAAGACATCCGCTGCGCACGTAGTCTGCGCCGCCCTCCCCCCTACTGGGCACGCCTCATCTTGGATTGCGAGGGAGCGCAGCAGCGCCCTTTTTTAGTCAGTACTCAACCGGATCCCACGCGTCTCCCCGAGATCATCGTAGTTTTCGAGTGTTGAGGAAAAGAGTCGGCGGATAAAGTTTGTGTAACAGACCAATAAAGAACACGCTTAAACGTCCGCAAGCATCTTATTGATCAACCTCAACGCCTTTCTACAACATTTGGTCCTTCGAGCCGGATAACAACCGACGACCAGACAACGTCGAGAAGCATCGAGACAGCGACCGACGCCACTTCGTCCGGCAACAACACTCCCACCTTTTTTACGACAGGTGAGAACAAAAAAGTATACTGTCCTGGGGTCCGATCAACGGGTGGGACACGGTGGCTGAAACGACGTGCAACGAGGCACAGAAGTTGGCGGTGGGCATGACCAAATAAGCCACGGCGGGCGGCATTTCGGACGCCAACATGCAACACCGTCCAGTCAAAATGGCGGAACTCAAGCGTCCTAGACACAGCAGAAGCAGCAGCGCGCTACAGCAGCTCTCCCGCATGGCAGCGGCGGCAAGGAGAACCAAGTCTCTCCGCCATGGTAGGCCACACCGTTATCGACAGTTGGTTCGGCAGAGCGGGCGTCGGTCGGAAAAGGCGATCGAGACGCAACGGCTCGACCCACCACTCGGTCAACGTCGCCGGCGCGCTCGGCCCGACGTCGGGCGCATGGGACCCCGAGTCGGCGCCGGCTCGCGCCCGGCGGCCGTCGGACGGCCGAGGCCTCGCACGAGTTGAGGGTCCGAGAGGCCGTTCCCTTAAGCCTCGCTGGAGGCCTGCGACCTCGGTCCAGTGGCACGGTCACGCACTCGCCATCAGAGAAATCGGACTTGACACCATCACTGCATCTTGAGTGAATCACGGCGGCTCGGTCTCCCCCCCCTTTCCTTTTTTCTCTTGGGCCAGTGGTCGGGTCGACGTCAGGCCGACAGACTCGACAACGTCTCGCACGCGGCCCTGCGGTCAGCGTGACGCGCTGCGGCGGTGCCGCGCTCTGAATCGAGACTTCGGGAGGCTGATGCTCGGTGACAGCTGGCGGCTCCGTCGCACGCTCACGCAGCATCCGCTCGGCGCTAAAATTATACGGCAGTTATTTCAGATGGCACTCCCACGGGCGCAGCTTGCCCTTCTCACGGTACTGGAGCGCAACCTGAACACCACCACAAGCCTGTCGGCGAACCAATGGACGGAGGGACTTGTCACCAGCCGGTACAACCTACTGGAAGGTTACTGGAACAACTTTTCGACTAATCACGTGCAGCTGCTCACCGCTGACGACGGAGATGTAGCGGTCACAGACTACCTGAATAGCGACGCCTACGAGAAGGCAGAGAGTTACTATACTCGTGCTCAGGGTGCTCTCAACGATCTCTACAATCGGATCTCGCCGCGAGCTCAACATGGAGACGTCTCTAATGGCGCCGCAGCTCGCGAAGGCTCCTCTGGTCGCCGGCTTGCACGGCTACCCCACATCGAAATCGAGCCGTTCAGCGGAGATCAGAAGGACTGGGAGTCCTTCCGTGACCTGTTCACCTCCGTCTACCACAATGATCCTGATCTCAGCGATGTGGACAAACTGTTCTTTCTGCAGTCCCACATACGCGGACGTGCGAAGGCTGCACTTGAAGAACTTCCTCCGACTAGCACCAACTACGCGACCGTGTGGGCCGCCCGCAAGTCTCGGTACGACCAACGCCGATTGCTGATCCAGGAGCATATGAAGGCACTTCTCCGCTTGCGCTCCGTCCGCCAGGAGTCGGCACAAGGACTGCAGCATCTACTGGACGAGCTCAGACGTCACCGCAACAAACTGCTCGCTCTTAACAGACCAGTGGAGTCGTGGCATGACTGGTTCGTCTATCTCGGATACGAGGCGATGGACAGCAACACCCGTCGAGCCTGGGAGGAGTTCATCGAGGCGAGGGAAAGAGATGACCGTGACGTTGATCCCACATTCGAGCAGCTATCAGACTTCTTGGAACGCCGATGTCGTATGTTGCGATCAATCGAGTCAGTGAAGTTGAGCTCCTCGAGCAACTCGACGGCAGGCGGCACCTTCAACGGGCCCGCTTCAACGCCTCGTCTCACCAAAACTCACGCCACCGCCAACCAACGAGGATGCCCCGCGTGCAAGGAAGCGCACTACATCGGGCACTGCATCACGTTTCGCGGGCTGGGACCCGACGAACGTCGCCGCCTCGTGACTGATCGCGGCCTCTGCTATAACTGTCTGAGCAGCAACCACACCGCTCGTAACTGTCCGTCGACTTCATCATGCCGAAACTGCTCCGGATCGCACCATACACTGATCCACGACGGCGCTGGCAAGCGGCCCACTCGGAGCGATAGAGAGGACCCAGAAGGCAAGCGAGCGAGGGCCCAGACACAGACAGCCGTCACGCAAGAGAGCACAGTGCGAGAGTCGAAGTCAACATGACTATCGTTCTTGCCCACTGCCGTAGTGACTCTCAGCGGTACCAACTCGAGAAGGGAGAGCGTCCGAGCACTGCTCGACCCGTGCTCCGACGACACGTTCGTTTGTCATGCCGTCGCTCGACGTCTGAACTGCGACTTTAGCCGAGTCAACGTCGGAGTCACAGGCGTATCCGGCGTCACCATGGACTCCGCTCGCTTCCAGACACTCGTCCGCCTCTTCGACCCCTCAACTGGACGCCATTGGAGCGTCGACGCCCTCGTACTGCAGACCGTCGGCATTGTCACGCCAGTCGAAACATCGGAGTCCGCACCGAGGCTCGTCAAGGACCTACTGCCGCTCGCCGATCCATGCTTCAACGAGGCCTTGCCGATAGATCTTGTATTGGGAGCTGACGTTTACCGACGAGTCATGATGCCCGGGATTCGACGATACGGATCACTCTTGGCGCAGCGAACGGTGTTCGGATGGACGATTACCGGCTCCAACGATCGAGAGATCATCCACCGCTCCTCCAGCGTCCATGCGTGCACGTCTGATTCGACTCGTCTCACACCAGACACCAGCTACGAAAAGCTGCTTGGC